CACACACACACACACACACACACACACACACACACACACACAGTCATACATCTGTTTCTACATTCCTCACTGAGATGAAATAAGGGTTCTTAGAGTAATAATAAAGTCTCACAGCGTGGTGAAGGTCGGCGACAGAGTGGTGCAGTATTAACAGAATTACTCAGTGTTACTTCTTTGACTGTATAGTTCAGCTTGTTTTCTCATGCTAAATGTCTAATGTGACAATTTATTTTTGACACTTTTTTGTATGCTACAAATGACATATTCATTTCACTTGCTGAAAGGCTTTTTTTCTATTTCTGGAGAAATAAAGAGACATTGTAACTTTATTCTGTTCTACAACCATAAAGTAGAAGTAATCGTCAATAACGTTTTTACTTGTTACATTGTAATTTAACTTCTTTTCCATGTGGCAACCTACAAATTTTCTTTATGGTTGTTCTCTCATTATAGCTCGTCTGTGGCTATATTTCTGCTTTAGAGTACCATACACATTAGTATCAAACCATCAGGCCAACTGCAAAGGAATTAGAATTTTAGAATATAAACAGCAAATGAAATGTTCAGATCCTCAAATTATAATGTGTCTTTGTGACAGTGTATTTAACTGCCTAACCAAGAGTTATTTATCTTTGTTCCAGGATTAAGGAGCCATTATCTGACTTTAGTGCTGATGATGAAGAAACCACTAAAGCTCCAAGTGCAGGAGAATTTCTGTTGCCAACTGAGGAAGACATCTCAGATAGTCAAAATCCCTTCAAACCTTCATCATGGAGGTTGGGGGTGACAAGGCTTGAGGACGCCAGAGACTCTGAACGTTACCTTCATCGCATCCTCTGTTAAAAACTAGATTTTGGATGAAGATGCAACAAAACTGAAGTCTGATTTTGTTTAGAAGTACGCGCTTCTGCTATCATGCACTATACGTGTTAGACACTAGCACAACTTTATGAACTGTGGTAAACCTGCATGCAAATTAAAGGACAATCTATTATAGGAAACTCAAATGTGTGTCTACTCACAAAGAGAGTTGTTGGAAAGAGGCTAGAATGAACAGTTTTATTGTTGTTGTTGTGGTTTTTAATGAGCTGTTCTGTACACTACAATTCTTATACACAGAGTAAAATATTTTTGAATAAACAGAGGGAAATACTTTTATATGGATATTTCAATGTGTCACAGAATATCAAAGCAATCATAAATTTAAAATAAATAGTTAGCGGTGAAATGTACATCCATCCATCCATCCATCCATTCGCTTCCGCTTATCCTTTTCAGGGTCGCGGGGGGCGCTGGAGCCTATCCCAGCTGTCATAGGGCGAGAGGCGGGGTACACCCTGGACAGGTCGCCAGTCTGTCGCAGGGCCAACACACAGAGACAGACAACCATTCGCACTTCACATTCACTCCTGCATTCACACCTATGGCCAATTTAGATTGATCAATTAACCTACCCCCACAAACTGCATGTCTGAAATGTACATATAAATAATAAAGCAATTCCCTCACATTCTTTTCAAACCCTGGATTAGCTTTTCAGCAGCAGAAAAAAAGGTACCATATTGTAAAGTTGCCTATTTACAATTCAATTCAATTCAATTTTATTTATATAGCGCCAAATCACTAACATAAGGCGCTTCATAGATACAGAGAAAAACCCAACAATCATATGACCCCCTATGAGCAAGCACTTTGGCGACAGTGGGAAGGAAAAACTCCCTTTTAACAGGAAGAAACCTCCGGCAGAACCAG